GGGACTTGCAACATCCTCCTAAAGATTGGCAGCGCAAGCTGGGGCAGCTGCTGTTCGGGGTCAGCCATGCTCTGCCTAGGTCAGTCCTGCAAGTGCCCTGCCAGCAGTGAGCTCTCTAGTCACACTCTGTGGCTTATCCTGGGGGAGCATTTAGCCGAGATTGAGCGACAGGGATGAGCTGAGTTTCTCCCTCTGGTAGTCTTATTTCTGTTTTAATCAGTGTGTCTTTCATCTTGGACATGATTGTTTTATGGAAGTGAAAACATCACTCTTTAGCATAATTTGGAACCTGTTAAGTTAGATCAGATATCCTTCATGGCGATGCTCTAACACCCAAGGCCATCTTCTTCCTTAGGTACTCTCTCTGCTCTAGGAGAATGTTTTATTTCAAAACAAGCACCAGGATGACTGGAGAGAGTATCCCATGTGCAGTGATAGTGACAAAGGCAGAGTATTAATTACTTAACCTCTCTTAACCAGCTGAGTACCTAGTTTTCCTGCAGGCCTTGCTCCAATCCCATTTCCATAACCCACAGAATAAAGGTGACGGCCTTTGAGCATAGGCTAACATTTAACATACGGACCAAACCACATTCAGCAAATGCACCCGCCTACTGTTTCTCTCCATGATGGCACTGACACACACCTTCAAAGCAGCATGGCAGGTACAAACATCACTGATTCACCATTTTCCTAGGAAAGGCATCAGAGGGGAAGTGGGAGAGTCCTGCTTGGGTATTGATGCAACTCCATAGCCATTTTCTACTTGAGCCAGCAGACAATACCACAACCTAGAGTGCAAAACATATACTGTGTTTGAAGCTGAAATTCAAATTATTTCAGCTGGTAGTGTAAACTTTTAGCTGATCTCTGCCCATCTGGCTGGAGTCCCAGCACCCTTCTACCATACAGGGGTAGGTTGTTTTATTCATGGTGGTAGATATGAGTACAGAAACTGCTTCTGTGGGCAGGTTCCGAGTTTACACACAGTGCAGGATGAATTACTGCCTCTCCCTCAGCACTAGCCACAAAAGCTCACGCTGTGGCTCCACCCTGTATGCAGTGGTGAAGAGAAGATCCATGAGGTCTAGCAAGTTTCATTCCTGTGAGTTTCAGTGTTGTAATTCTTGACTTCAGCACTCCAAGAAACTCTCTTGCTCCGTGCACAGAGCTGATGGCTGGTTCTCTGCAGCACTGGCACGGCTTGTTTCTGGTGCTCCAGCTAAGGGTGCCCACACAAACCCGCAGGTGACAAGGAGGATTAAGAAGGCGGAAAAAGCAGCACGTCTCTCGCTGCCTCCTCAGATGAGATCATGCATCCCTTTCCTCCTCATGTGCTGCTGGTGCCTGATGCAGAGTCATGGTACTGAGCAAATGGCACTTGCTGGTCTCGCCAGCTCCCAGCAGGGCTTCTTCCTTCTCTGTGCACAAGTATCTGCAAGGAAAAGCAGCCTAGATCTGCTGCCACTGCAGGCTTACTTTTCAATGAGTCCTAGATTTCATCTCTGCCTTTTCTATATTTAGAGGGCCTTGAGGCACCAAGGAGCCTACCCGGGGCCTCCCCCACACCCTATGCCCACAGCTGGGAGTCCCACCTCAGAGTTGTCATGAGACAGTGGCTCCCTGAGGAGCATGGCTGACAGGGCACCACAAGACTCATCCTACAGCACCCAATGTGGTGAGCAGGGCAGGTCCCAGGATGGTAACCAGATGCAGGAATGTGCCCTGACCGTAAGGCTCATCATGGTGATGCAGCACGGCAAAATGGTGATCCCAGGCCAGTGAGGCAGGCCCAATGATGGCAGGGGTGTGGAGACAGGGATGAGACAAGGCTGGGCCCTGTGGGTCTGGGTCAGCAGGGCCCATGGCTAGGCAGGGCAGGACTGTGGGGAACTGGAGACAAGCCCTGCTGTGTCATCGTTGGGGCAGGAGCTGATGGCTCTGTGGGGGCTGAGATGGGGTCCTGAGCCACAGGCAGGGTGACAGGTGACCCTGGAGGAGGCCTGGCAGGGACAGTCGGGGCTGGTGGTGGCCATGGAGCTCTGTCAGCCAGTTAGGACTGTTCAGGGCCTTAAAGTAGCAGAGAATGCCTCAGTGCATTGATTACACTTCTTAAGATCTTCTCAAGTTATCCAGGTCTAATTAAATTTCACGTTGATGACACAGCAAGACACGGCCAAGTGTGTGCATATGACAGCATAACAAAAAGAAGAAGAGATGTGACTTGTCTTGGTAGATAGGACATAGGAAATTTGAGGTTCTGGGAAAAAGTAGCAGCAGTAAGTTCTGACAAATCTACCCTTTTATTTACAAGCACACATGTGGGGAGAAATGCTACAGTCACCCGTTTTGGACCAAGCCTGTGATTTTCAAATGCATCTTTATTGATTGGTTGATTTAGCTCAAGTAGTATGAACTTTATTTTACAAGAACCTGCAGCTAACCAACACAAAAATAATTACCATCATTACCTCGTACAATACCAGACTAGCGCAAAAACAGAAGTAAATGCCACAATCCAGTTAAAAGAACTGTAAAAGAACTAAATTAAACTGTAAACTCTACATGTAACAAATGGCTGAGATTAGTCCCACATATGTCACTTATAAACCCAGCAGTGGGAGGGGAGGGGAGGTCTGAACACAAAACCAAGCACCCTAGATGCCAACTCTTTCTCCCCTGAGCGTGCATAAGCATGGGCTCATTTGAGACAACACACAACCACGTGCTTGGCAGCACATGCGTAAGCAAGTGGGACAGCGGCAGAGATGCACACCATCAGCCCACATCTTGTCTTTTACCCTAGAAAGCCTTCTGGGTCTGTTCTCTGCTTCAGAACATTCAGAGTTTCCTAAAAGAAGAGACTGATGTGGATTTGCACCCAAAGGATGTGAAAAGAGCCTGGTAATTGGAGGAGAGTGGGCCAAAAAGAGAGAACTGAGCACTGCAGTCAGAAACTGAAGTTATCTAAGTTGGCAGTAGGTACAAATCATGCAAACACATTTATTCCAGATGAACACATGATGGAACAGCAAACCTGAAGTTCAGGATGAAAAACTGGGGATATTAACCACCCATTTCATCCTTTGTTCCCCCATTTTCTGTCTGCCCATTATGACTACTCTGTCTACATCCTCTGCAGTCCCTCCTTTCCCATTCTTCTGCTACTTCCTATACCACACAGGCAGTGACCCTCCTGCCCCACTAAGCTGCCTTCCCTAACCTTCACACAGTTCTGCCAGTGACATCCACTTTACACTCCCAGTCTGCTCTTTAGCCTCGTTTTTCTCTGTAGAAAACCAGAGAAGGCTGAAACCTGATTTCCTGCCCTCCACAATCCAAGGAAGACTCATCTTGATTTCTCATTCTTGAGGAACACAGAGGACTGGAATCTAACTTCATGTCAATAAACACCTTCAGCTTACTTTGGAATCTGCCTGTCTTCGTCATCCTTCTTGTCTTTTCCTCCCTCTTGGTCCCTCTCTTAAATGTAGGAATGTTTTCAATAATTCAGGTCCAGTTCTCTGATTTTTAGGTAAAACCCTAGAATTTTCCTATAAGTCAGCTCACTCCCCAAACCCCATCCCTTCTTTAGAGTTATGGCAGTTATGGGAAAATCTGCTGTTTGCGCCACTGGGAAAAAACTGCTTTGGCATGACAGCATAAGGCTTGCACAGGACAGCATCTATCTGGCATCTTTCTAAGAACAACACTGGCTTAAAATAAAATAATAATTAAAAAATTATGTGGAGAATCTATTCCCCTTCCCCTTCAAGTCTAAAAGCACCTCCCTTGTGGCAAAGAGTGGCACTGTTGTCCAATGACAAAAAGCCAGCAAAACACACGTGGGAGTGACTGATTTATTCTGCTTGTGCACGTGGTGCAAGGGCTGTACAGGGCTGAGACATGGAAGGGAAGGCTAAACCCACAGGAGTTCTTCCATCTTCAAATCTGCAGAAGATTGGTACAAGGACAACACTGAGAGATAATTTTCTGTGTTCACCAATAACAAGACCATTAATAGTTAGTTGCCTTAATGCACAGCAAGGGATACTAAAGTTAGGCAGCAAGAGAAGCTCTCTCACTTGTAGGCTAGCTAGGACCTGAACAGACAATCTCCAGGATCTGCCTCAGCAAAGCTCACTAAGAACAAGTTTAATGAGCAGCCAGGATGGACATGTTTGGTATACTCAGTCCTGTCTCAGAGCTGGAATGGGCTAGTCATTCTTTTGAGGTCCTTTCTAGCCCTGTGCTTATGAGTTTATCAGCTGACTTCATTGAAAAGAACAAAAGGGTCATCTCTATTTTTTTCCATCCAGCACTTGCAATTAAAGCAACAAAGGGAAAAAAAAGCCTTCCTTCTTTTCCACAACCTTCACATCTCACAGCTGAGGAGTTCCCAGCCCTCAGAGTTAGCCCTTCTAATACTGATGGAAGTGACAGGAAACACAATACTCTTGGAATGCTTCACAGGTAGCAGTTGGAGTCAGGACTGTCAGCACAAGACAGCCTTGCGTGGGCAGAGTGAATGCTCACAGAAGTGCAGCCCATGCCATGGGCAAGGCGTGACAAGGTCAGTGTACAATACATGGCATACCTTCTTCATCCAGTGAAAGGGTTACACAAAAATGGCCATCCTGCCTGGTCACCCGTCCCACAGCTTCACGACACTGGCTTGTCTAACAGCCTCCAGTACTGACTAACTACTTCCAGCTGTGGCAAGAGAAGAACTATGAACAGTGAAGTCTCCCCATCCCCAGTGTGGAAGCCCTCATTCGCCTTTCAGTTCACCCTTTCATACACTGTCCCCCTACCCTCCCTCCCCTCAATTTAAAAAATAATGGTTATAATTAATGCATGGAAGGTGATGGCATTGTGCATGTGGTTCACTTCCAGTTCTCTTCCCCTCTTCTCAGGCATCCTCCTTCCTCCTCTCCAACATCCCCCTCTCAAATCCATTCCATCAGTCCATCTCGCCTGCATGCCTGAGGGGTTGATGCTCACTTGCCATAGACGCTCTCATCGCTGTAGGCCACATAGAGAAAATAGTCCTCCTCGTGGTTATCCTGCAAGGCAAGAAAGTAACAAATCAAAGCCTTGTAACTCACTACATGTGAAAAAGCCAAACCAAGAGACCATTCTAACAAGAGGGCATAACCTCTCTTACACTGTTTCTCCCCCTGAACATTGTAGGCTTCACTTTCTCACACCAAACAGAGTGTATAGTAACTCCCTCTCTCTGGCCACAGCTCTACTTCTAAATTATGGCATGTCACGTTTCTGGTCACAGTGAATTTACTTGAAAAGCCACAGCCAGAGTGTGCTGCAATCATGCAACAGAAACAGCTCTGCTGCAGGCTGTACAGCAGAATCTCAGTGCTGGTATGGCCTTAAGGTTAAGAGAAGAGACTTGGAAGGCTTAAACAAGTCAAAATTCACCTCTAGATACTTCGCTATTTGGTAAATGTGGTTATATGTGTTGTTTTTCAGAATGCTTTGACAAGTGGCTGTATTTCTAGTCCTGTTTTACATATGGGCAGTAAAGGCGAGATGTTAAGTGATTACACTGACACAAAAAGTATGCAGAGCCAAGAAGAGATTCCTAATCTCAGCTCTGGCCAGGTAAACATACCTTTCTCCTACATGTCCAGATTTGGAAAACTCCATATGTGTGTTAATCTTATATTATCTTCATCAGTCTACATACAAATTGTCCAGCGATTGTTAAAAAGTGACAGGTCAAACAAGGCTCATAGCACCATACTGGAGCTCTCCTATTAAAACACACTAACACAGCAGAAGGAGAAATCAAGGAGAAATCAATCCAGGCTGCAAACCAGCCTTGATATAATGGCTATATAATTGAGGAACATTAATCTGATGGGCACAGAATATGCCTGTAAGGTAAATCAAATAACATTGCTCAGTACAAATGCTGGGCAGCAATGTTCACGATGTCCTAGGAGGTTCTCATATATACACAAGAGATGCAAAAGTAACTGTGAACAAAGAATAAGTTCCTTGACAACGTATTTATAGACAGTCTGTTGCCAGTGATACTGTGTTCTTTTACTGGCTAAAAGGAAATCTCTTTTGTATAAACAGGAAAGCTAGTGCGTATGTTCTGCCCGTCCCCGCTCCCCTCCCCTGCCCCAGACACAATCTTTCCTCTGAAATATAAACTGGTTTATTTCAATACGTTGCTAAAGTAGTAGGACCAGCATATCACTGCTGGGGCAACTATACACCATCTGATACGACAACCGTTTCAACTAGCAAACAACCAGTTAAAATGATGAGGCTCCCCGGGCTTCTCCTTATAACTGCAGGTCGGAACTTCCCTAAACAGATGATGGCATACAGCCCAGGCCAAGGGAGTCTGTGTTCAGGCATTTGTGACCAAGCTGCACCCACTGCCAGCTGTGTGGTGCTCAGTTGTCCTTCAGTGAGGATATGCACTCATCTGGACGCTCCAAGAAAAGGAGAAATTGATGGGCCAGGCTTACCTCATACAGCTGGCCCATGGTAGCACTGGTGGGAGGGATGGTATTATTGACGAAGAAGAACAGGGCATCTTCTGGCCTCAGGTGGATCCGCTTTCGGATTAAGAAGTAGAATTGGCCAACTGAAGAGGAGAACAGAGGAGAATGCCTTAGATGCAGAAAGAACAGTTTAGTTCGGGGTTTTTTGTAGGTTTTTGTTGTGGTTTTTTTTACCCTAATCATGGTTGTTTTCTTTTGGTTGTGGAAGCCACATGTGGTATGCAAAAAGTAGGGAAAAGTGAACAATGCAGGAAAGAAAGCAGTAACTTCATAACTGTAACCACATCAGCAGCCAATCCTCTCGGAGCTGGCAGTTTCTCAGGTACATATCTCAGGCCATGTACCCTTTAAATCGACACTCTACCTACTATGGTATGGGATGCTCTACTGCAGTGATTCATGGGAGGACCTCTAACTAGCTTAACCTTTAAATCCTATAGATCAAAGGCATCTTACAGAATTTAGCCTTGGTGTACATGGTCATACCATTCCTGAAAACAAATTCCTTGCTATTGGCCTGAGCTATGTCACACAAGAAGGTATTCTGCAATCCATTATATACAGCAAGAAAAAGAAATGCTGTTCTTTTAACTCATTCATGTTCTCAAATAAAAACAAATGCAATCACATACAAATTGGCCTTTTCCAATGACCATTTGGAAAAGGAACTTTGTAGTCATGACTCCAACCACAGAGGTGGAGAATGATGGGACTATTTCAAGAACTTGTCTCTTCCTGCAACAAGGATACAGCCTCTGGCAACTCTACAGCTAGGTCATCATTGACTGATGATTATGCTACTGTCTATGATACACAATTCAGTCATTTTCATCATGGCTGGAAGTCAGCTGTGACACATGCATGTTAGGTAAGTCAGTGCGATACCTCAGAAGATCTCAGAGAATTCTGCATGTTGCAATCCAGGCTGTAATGTACATAAATATAACAAGGACAGCCAGGTAAACTGGGGTAATGACAAGATGCTGAGCCTGCCTTGATATTTTATTGGTGCAGATCACAGAGTAAAAAGCACTTCTGAGACCTTCTCACTGAAAATCAGGAAGAAAGGAGGTAGATTCTGTTACCTGTGAGGTCAGAAGGCACAAGGTACTTCCTTTTGTCTAGGTCGGGTACTCTGGCTTTTGGTGCTTTTTCCACAATTACCTGTAGAGAGAGAAAGAGTGAGAAAGCAAGAAACAACCCATGAGTAACATAAAATGAAATGGACCAAAAAGCATAAGTGGGAAAGGATATTACCTTTTGAGAGAGATGGTGCTAGCAGGCCTTTAGAAATTTATTTAATCTATAACAAATACACAACATTAAAGAACAGGTAGGTGAGAAGACTTAAAATCACAGGCAATAGCTGGGCTGGGAGCCCAGGACTGCAGCAGTAAGCACAGTGAGGAAAAAATGGAGACTGGGACAGACATAAAAATAAATCATAATGGCCGAGGAAAAAAAAAATCAGGTCACCTTGGTGATCCCAATGCAGGTTAATTCTGTATGGAGGAGCTGCCAGGAGGCTAATACATGAACAGAAGTATCGCAAGTAAGTTGAACTGTTTCCAGGTTACAGTTCCAAACTGCCTGGCACAAAATCAGCCCTAGTCCCAGTAGTCCCACATCCTAATTTCTACATTCACCAGTAACAAGCACTCCAGAACGAAAAAAAGAATTAAAGAGAAATTACAGCTCATTGGGGAATGGTGGGTTTTTTTCTTTAATCCCCAGTTCTTCAGTAGGTATCTTCTACTCTGAAATCCGTATCCATTAAGGTTATTTTCCCTACTTCATATAGTTAGGGACATTTCCTTATTCATATAAATATCTAATAATTAAAAACCAGGCTACCATCTGGGCAACTGGACCCACAAAGACCTTTGACGCAAAATACTAATCCTCATTATATTCTGATGTCATTACAATGTAGAAAAATATGAAGCTCAGCAGCTTTAAAGTCGAACAGACCAAGAGACCTTCTGCTACAGGAAAATTTTTGTTAGCAGAGCTAGCCAAAATGTTTACCTCAGAAGCAGGAAGTATTCCAAAGTGATCCGATCTCCTTCCATGAAAACCCATGGAAACCTTTGGAATTACTGGGTTTGTGCAGAAGAACATTGCTGGCAGTTCTTCGGTGGTTTTTTTTTGTTTGGGTTTTTCAGTTTTTGTTTGTTTGTTGGTGATATGTATTTTTGATCTGGTAAGAACTACATTGCATGATTCAATCTATGTGGTTTGCTGTTGTGCAGAAGCCATTTTGACCATCTAAACAAGCTGGATTTTCTGAACCTCCTCAACTTTTTGCTTCTGTTAGACCCTGTAAATCTCAATACTCCATTTGAGACACTGTGGGACTGATTTTCCCATGCTCCCATAGCTCTTTGGCAACCCAAATCAGCAACTGTATCTCTTGTGTAACAGAAAAGCCAGAACTGCTGTGGACTAAGCCGCCTTTGGAAGAAAAATGGTGGTGTTACATCTGTGAGAAAAGTTAAGACAATGACATTGGTGTATTTAGCCTGGACAAAGTGCCACGCTAACTCAACTCGACTCCTTCTAGACCCAAGTGAATATCTGCAAAGCCTGTCACACAGTAGAGATGCTAGCTTGGACATCTCTTCACTGTGCTCCATTTGAATGTTGCCAACACAACTGAAACCCCTAAAAATTCTAAGTTTGTTTACACAATAGGAACATGGTTGTCCCTGCTACTTCAAGAACTACCATCACCTCAGTTAGTACAAGTCTGTGGTATAACACGCATTTCCTACCATTTCCATACACGATGCAGTTGGCAAGTGCTATGAAGGAAGGACAGTTCCACAATCTCACTGAACAGGTGCAGGCTGAACAGCAACGGCACTTCACACATTTTTTCATCTACACACCCAAGAAGGCAATATCTCACACAACAAATTGCAGTGGAGAGAAACCTTTAGTTCTTGCCTGCTGTTTTAAAAACACACAGAACTGCTACCTAGCAGCACTGATGTGACCACCCTGACTCAAAAGGTAGCTTAGTCATTAGATAATAAAGAAAAAGAAGTCATGCCTACGAGGAAGAGGTGAGAGTACTGGGGCTCTAAGGCCCTAGAGAAGATTTAAATCAGATCATCACTGAGCTTAAGAGAGATCTCCTTCTTGCAAAGAGTCTGGGAAGGAATGGAGGTGCTCAGCTAGTCTGACTATCAATCAAAGCCAGTTTGCCAGATAAAAGTATCTCTTGTGAAACATGAAACCCTTCACACACCAACGTGCAAAGAAAATACAAAGGGCAGATACAGATTATCTCTCTGTCTGCTGTTGCTGGGTGGCGACTGTGGTAATGTGGGACCGTGCCAACAGTACAATCTCAGCAAAATGCTGAGATGTATCAGGGCACTGCAGTGTAGGCAGCCAAACAAACGTCATCTTCAAGGATCCTGCTGTCAGGAAGGGCAGACACAGAAGCGATGTAAAGAGCAGATGTCTGCTGCATTAATTTGCTCCATATGCACGTCTGACAAGAGGCTGCCCCTGACAATTCACATCTGGGCCTTGCCATGTGTCATTTTCTTTTATCCGTAACTACAGCACACCTTGTTATTTTGGTCCTGGCTCGCCCCATAAAAATCTGCTGATGCCCTCCGTTATCTTGACCTCTTTTACCTCTTGCCAGACAGGGTCTGGTCCTGGGCTCCCCACACAGCTCTTCCAGACACATCTACCATGATCTGCTGTACAGCTGCCATGTTAATCCTCAGTTTACAGCTTGTCTCACTCCTGACCTACCAAGCCCTCTGCAGTCCTCATCTTAAATCACAGAACAGCACACAATTCACTGCTGACTTGCTGCCTGCTCAACCTGCTACACTATGCCAAAAACAGCTAGGTCCTAAATGCACCCAAATACTGATTTCCAACAACTTTTGCAAGTTCAGTTAAGGGCCAGTCCCAAGATACAAAATGGTGTTATTCTGCAGGGAAAATGTGGTTTAACTGTTCCCCCTTGACCTCAGATTCAGAGCCTAAGTTATTTTGCACGTAGTACCCCTGGGCAGTAAATCTAGGACACACCTCTCCAGTGGGGACAGAAAGAAAGAACATTTGCAAAATGTTTATTAAAAAGGAACAAAAAAAAGATCACAATTACTTCAACTTGTCATTTCTTTTTTCCCAATTATTATCAGGAATTATAAAGCTACAAGTTTTCCACAGGCACTCCAAAGGCATCTAAGGATGAGGAAGCAAAGTTTAGCTAGAAGATGACCTTGTTTTCCAAGTGACGTTTTTTCCACAGGATGATTAAAGAGGAGGGCAAAGAGACTGCAAAGTAGCATTTTTCTCTCATGTAAAGGCAAAGAACAGAGCATGACTAGATTGAAAATACAGGCCAAACGAAAGCAAAGTAAAAATCAAGGGAAAGTATCAAGTGGCAGGGACACAGACCTTGTTTCCTATGAAGAGTAACTCACTCATTGTTCTCCTCCATTTTTACAGAGCTAATGGTAAGCTCCTTCCCCACCCCCCAACCCCACGCACGCAGGCTGCCAGAAAAAGATTCAGCAGCGTTCTCGCTGGCGGGTCACTGCGGAGCCCAGGAAAAAAATTTAAAAAAGAAAGAAAGAAAAAAGGTGCATTACACCCCGCACCCACCCACC